AGGGTTTCCAAAAAAAATTTTTTTATACCACAAGTGGAGGGGCCCTGCATGACAATGTGCATTGTAATTCTCACTGATGACATACAATCAGTAGAACCCCCCCTATCGCCCCGACTTTGCTTCTGGGGTGTTAGTTATTTCCCCAGTTTACCATGTCCTAAAAATAACCCTTAATTTTGTTTTAAACCCTTTAAAAGGGCCAAACAGATCCGTTCAAATTCTTTTGCCCCCAACAGTAATCTACTTTTTTTAAAGATTTTCAAATTTAAAAAAAAAAAAAAAAAAAAAAAAAAAAAAAAAAAAAAAAAAAAAAAAAAAAAAAAGCTTTTTTTAAAAAAACGTTTTCAATGTAAAACAAAAAAAACTACATTTTTTTTTTTCATACTTTCCCCGATGTTGAAAAAACTATAAATAAGTTTGGGCCGTTTAAAAGGGGGAATAATGAACCCCAAAGCATAAAAATAGTGGGTGGTGGCAGCTCTTCAAACTTAAGAAAAACAAAGAAGGGTTCCCATCAGTGAAAAATTTCCAATTTTTCGACTTAAAATGGTAATTTATCAAAATAAAAATATCACAGGTAAGCACATAAATGCAACCCCAGAAAAAATTTGTGGGTCAAAAAAGCGAATCCTATAAACTAACATGTATAGAATTTTACTAATATCCACGGTTTTTTCAAAGAGCTGGGGGAAAAAAAATCACAGAAACCCAAGGGCCCCCAGGGCAGCCAGCCCTTTCCCCTTTTAGATATTCGGTGATGTGGAGAGGAAAACTGGGGTGCCGGGTCCTTTGGGTTTTATTATTTGTGGTAGTCTTGGGAAATTTTTCCCCATGGAAAATAGGAGGACTATTTTACCAACATTTTGATGGATTAGACACATGCAACACTATCATCTTCACTGCTGACATGTTTTTGCCTACACAGCAGGATTCTTCAGTTGAATACAAGCAAATATAAAATTTAAGACACAGGTAATTTTGCGGAGATAAGTCCTTTGGCTCGGTAGGCAGCTTGAGGGACTGACCACCACTCAAGGGCAAGGGTAGTGATGAACTTGATTAACAAGTTGTAATGAGGTTTAGATCCAAGGGAGAGCAGATCAAATCCCTTTGATCAAGAGCCCATTGCTTTTCCTCCTTGAAGGGCAAGATAGCTCCTGATTGAATTACAAACCTCTTTCCCCCCCTAGTTGGTGAATGAAGCTGCAACTGTGGACCAACAGACTTCTGGACCAATACATTTACCCTGCACAAGCATGTGGTACAAGGGGAAATGCCAGCAAACTATGAACAAGAGTAATCGTAATATTAATGGAATACAGTGCCGACAACATTACACTCTCGTACAACACCCAGGGATCTATTTTGAAGACATTTCACCTCCCTGTGGCTTTATCAATTTAGTGTCAGAGATAATCTCACAGTGCCTGTGCTGTGAAGGAGGGGTGGAGATATGTTGCAGTTTTTTTTAACCGTGTAGGTACATGCCTGGCAAGACAGTGATGGAATGAAATGCAAAAGCATTTCTTCTCTTCCGGGTCACCCTGCCTTGGCGGGAAACGCCAATGTGTTAATTAAAAAAAAAAAAAAAAAAATACCGATGTTACAAACAATAACAGGAAAAACACTTAGTAAAAAAAATCTACATTTCAGTGTTGTTGACCCCTCACACAAAAGTCAAATGGCAGCATTTCATGTACAGGGTAAAATTGACAAATTTATACACTGAGCATATATTAGTTTTGCAAATAATTTTTTACCTATTAAAAAAAAAAAAAAAAAAAAAAAAAAAAAAAGTCAGAGGAGATTTAAACAATTCAGTTTCTGGTCTGCAAATTAATGAACGATGTGCAAAATATAACTTATAAAGGCACTTCAAAATTGTTCAAGAAAATAATGGATGGGTTGACTGATGGGGAGATGAACGTGTTGACTGGTGACTAGGTGTTTTATATCTGTCTTTGTAGACTGGGAACATAGTTGTCTTACAAAACCTAATAGAATATGAAGGGTAAGACAAGAGCTCTCTGGCAGGAATCGAGAGTATAACCTTTATCTCATTCCTATTAGCGTTTTCGTGGATAACCTCATTATCATGGATACTTAGTCTGAGGACTGTCACTGTAGACATTATGTACTGCACAGGTTATCACTGGTTCTCTGCATATATTTAGTAGGACATTGCTACTATGTCAGATAATCACAGCTGAATGCATGTTTTAATTTTATTGGCTTTGTCCAATGTGGCAAGTCACACTATAAAAAAAAAATTACACAAATAACCTGCACTTAGACTATTATGGAAGTTTTGAGACTGTGATAATTTCCACTCCAAATATACATGGGGGCCATGAGAAATGTAGCTTTGTGCGAGAGGTATACACAAGGGTTACTAAAAACCAGCAACTCTTTAAACACTACTTCCTGGTGATAAGTCGAGCTTCATTCCATTTCATCAAATTTCTATGTCCCTCTCCATCAAGTGTTAGTTTTGTCATTCCAGCTACAAAGAATATAAGGCACAATACTGTGACTAAATTAATACCCAAATAACCCGCACACAGGAGAAAAACTCATGATGACATTTCGATCTGAGTTCGACTATTAACTGGCGACTAGTTAATGGTCCAAGTCGGACCAAAAATCAAATTTCTTTTTGTATACGAGTTTTTTAGTGATCCGGTACACAGTTTTTGAGCAAATAAAAAAAATTTTAAAATATATTTACAGTACCCTCCCCGGTTTGGTGTGGGTATCAGAGCAGATACTGAGGAAGTGACAGTAGGCTGTTATTCCTATACTTTGATGAGCGGGGGAGTATCTGCCTGGGGTAATGTCACATTCAGCAAGTTTTTCCGAGGGTTTCATGCTCTATTACCACATGGGGGTGAAGTACAGTTTTTTGCTGTGTTCTGAAGTTAATAATCTACACGGTTTAGTCAGTCTACTGTTGGGGGTAAGAATGTGGGAAAAAAGGTGTAAAGGCAAAGAATATGATGGTTTAATCACTACTTCATGCATTGTGTGTTTTTAATGCAAAATTTGAACATGTTTGTTAAAGGGGCGGGTTAGATATCGAACAGGTGTGCATGAGGTGTTTGGGTGGAACAAGGCTTTTATGATTTGATGTCTGTTTGGGTGAGAGCAAGGTAATATTTTTGAAGAGATTCAGGGAAACGAAAGCCCGATGAGAGTCCTGGAGGTAAAAGTACATGCCTGCATTCTGAAAGGGGGGGTGGGGGATATTTCAGTTTGGAGGGGCATCTGGCTGTAATGGCAGATGCCTCGGGAAGACGCGATGGACGAGTAAAAAAAAGGGAAGTGAGTTTTTCTTTTCCAGGTCACCATCCTTGGGGAAGATGCAGGGGGGATTTTTAAAAAAAAAAATTAACAAAAAATTTTCCCAAATACACCCAAAATACACATTCAGGAAAAAGCACTTAATTATGCAGGCAGGTGATGTGTTTCCCTACCTTTTCCCGTTCTCAAGTAAAGCGTGTTTACCCTGAGTAATAAAATTTTCTCTAGGTTATGCCATGTCCTTGTGCATCTTCAAATGTCCCAGTGCACAGTAAGTAGTTCATCTCGACTTTTGAAAGTAAAGTTACCTTGGCTTTTCAAAAATAGTACAATAAAAGTTTAAAGAGATTTACATATTAGTGCTCTTGTAAGGATATGTATTTAGTTTTAATTAAACCTTTACTTTTTACAATAGTTTTTAGTCAATTTAATTAAAATGTCATGTGGTTTTATATATAATCATTATAATCATAATTTAGTGCTAAACCCACAAGGTTTTATATATTGCAGAGGCTTATATTATTCTTTAAATCAATTATTCTTCAAGCAACAGAATTGTGTATAAATTTGGTGACCATTTTGGATTCCTATGCTGATAAGTTGCATTGTTTTAGTACTTTGAACATTTAGTGTATTTTAAAAGTTACATTACTGACTGACAACATGGATTTAGTGTAAGACTATATTTGCTTGTATAAAACAATGGAAATTGGTCACTTGTGTGATCCTGGGATGTTCACGAAGGAATGGTTATCCTGTTATCCAATTTAAAAATAATGGTATAGGTATATAAATATTTTGCACTCCTTAATTGTAAGGATTTTCAATAGAATTTATTGTCGCTATATTTATGTAGATTTTGGAAGGAGATGGTGTATATATATATCACAGCCACTCCTGGGTACCTCAAACCACCACCACATGGGCTGTCAGAGGCAGGGTAAAGTGCCATTCCCTCACTTGAGGATCTTTAATAGGGGTCTATTTACATTTAGTAATATCGCTGTTTACTATTAATCATCCACGTATATTCTGAGTGTATGAATGAGTTTGCAATGTACGATATATAGCAACAGTAGACTAATCCTACATGATCAAAAATCCATAACCTTTGCACTATATTTAACCTGTAGTAACAATTGTTATTGCTCTTCCAGGCTATAAGTTGGTGATGCAGATCCAAATGACATTTTAAAATTGTGACCTATGCATGGAGTTGTAAATAAATAAAAATAAGCATACCGTAAAGTGGCTTAGGGTGTCCCCCCCCCCACCCTAAACTATGTAAACTTTTGACACACAGTGCTACTGAAGCATTCTTTAAAATATATTGTGAATTTTGTTAAGGATTGCTTATATGAAGCTTAAACATGCTGTTAGGGCAAACTCCCAATATTACCTCAAAATATTAAGTTTTTCACTATCTAAAAATATTCCTCCCCCCCCCCCCAAGAAAAAAATCATTGTAATCAAAGCGCTAAACCCACAGAAAAACAAAAATCATGCATGCGTGCCTTTACCTGCAAACTTTCATGCAGTGCATGGACAGACATTTCAGTTCCGACTTCAGCGACATCAAGTTTACAGGAAATTTTCAAATATTCACCTACCTAGACGTGAGGGCCAAATGTAGGTAGCATACTAGTCTTAACATATGAAACTAAGCTTAACTGGTACAGCAAACAAGGTGGACCACTTACACGAACAGCAGAGGGATTGTCCGAATAATCAACAGGTTGACAGCGGAATGAATAATGAGTGAACCATCCACTCATTCCAATCTGTAACCAACCGCAGTACAAAATGGTGCATGCGGTACATGATTAGAATGGGTGATCAGTATGAGCATTACACGATTAGGCCACAGATATTACAAATATGATGTCTACATTATTAAACTGTACTAGCATTCCCAGAATTTGCAAAAACCCAAAACAGGCATCTTTATATAAAATTCCAAGAAAGGTATCATGCAACATTACCTGAAGGTTAATATATATAGTACTGTACGTGCTAAATGTTTCTCATTAATTCCTAACTAGGATAAATTCCTCATCACTCGACACTAAATGACAGAGCTAGTATAAGATGGTCAAACGTATTAAATGCATTAGAAAATGGAAAATTTTACTACCAGCACACTACGTCGGGAAGATGGTTAATTACCGTACTCGTTAGGGTCCGCTGGGTGTTCTGACCTCCGTAGAGAACCACCCTTAACAATGAGGATAATTAGGTCATCTTAGGTGACCTCAGGTCAGCAAATTTTCATTTTTTCTTGGAATATACCTATCTAGTAAGAAATTAATATATCTAAATTTGTAGTAGGCTATAATACAAATAGGCATAAATTATACTTTTTTAAACATTTCACTAAACCAGTTATACAAACAATCCTTCAATATACAATTTGCCAAACATTTAAGCCTTCAGAATATATTCTATTTTTTTTATTGAATATTAATGAATTGAAATTCAATTCTCATATTTGTTGCAGTGTCATTCACATTAGCAAACACTAAGTGGTTAGTACAAAGAAATATAATTAACCAATTCGAAACATAAAAAAAAATCTTATGGTTTGGCCTGGTTGATCAGGTCCTGATCCACCACGAGGCCTGGTCACAGACCGGGCAGTGGGGGCATTGACCCCTAAAACTCTCTCCAGGTAATCCAGGTAAACTCGCAAGTATATTGCATTCTACTTCAGTTATCGCTATGCAGTGATAGACATGCCAGAATGTACTAGGAAAGGCCATGAGGTCTGGAAACAGGACCAAACCACGTACAGTACTGCATCTGGGGACATGCGTGCCAATGCAATAGTGCAAGAGTTAGCTATTTCAAACAAATTAACATTCAGGAAAGCTCTGGAAATGGCAGTACTGCAAGGTATTGTTCAGAAAATATAAGTATACCCTTCATTCCCAGTTTACAAAAAATTTAAAATCTTGAAAATTTCCAGTGTGAGCCTGACTGTCTGGTGCAAATGTGACGGTGATTCAACGAATGCTTTAAAAAGAATTGGTTTATGCATAATAATAATGTGTTTTTCATACATTTGTGTGTTTCCAGAATTTATGGTCACCCTACTGAAAATAAAAAGTCAGTTATTTCATTGATATGAAACACAGAATCATATTTATAAAAATATTTTGGAAATGAGATACTGGCTATCAATAAGCCAAAATATCCTAAATGTAACTAAACACCTACAGGATGATAGTTTAAAAATGACCAATTGCTTCAAAAAAAAATATTTATAAATGAAATTTTGGAGGCAAAATAAAAAAAGCTCGATAAAAATTAAAAATATTCTTACTTTCATAGTATTATGTAGATAATAAAGATGAAGAAACTAATGTTTGTAGGTTACACACTGACGTAAAATCCCCATATGAAGCCTAAAGTGAGTATTATCCAGCCTGGGAACTGTCAAAGCATTGCTTTCTGAACATACTGCCTTTCAAAAACTGCACTACAGCCCTTTTTCATAAACAAAAAATCTATTTTAAGGTTATACTAATGCAATACTTCATATTTTGCAAGTCCGGCCATAAACAAAGTACCTTAATTTTCTATCCATCTATATGTACATTTCAAATTCTGCTCTTTCAAGAAAACACTGCCTTGTATAATATCCTAGCTACTTTTGTATATTATTTATGGGAGAATAAGCCTGTTGAGTATACCTCCTAATGTATATGGAAGAGCTGTCACAAAAAATTAAGATAAGTTGGAGAGCAGGATTGCAGATGAATGAGGCTTAGGGAGGGTAGGGGGTGTGTAGATCAAGTGTTTACAGTGAATCATAGGTGAACAGTATTTAGATAAGGGTATAAAGGTTTTTGTTGCATTTATGGATCTGGAAAAGGCATATTATAGGGTGGATAGAGAAGCAATGTTGGAGATGTTGCAAGTGTATGGAATAGGAGGTAGGTTACCAAAAGCGGTTAAGTTTTTAGGAGGCACATGTTAGAGTATATAGGAGAGAGGGAGATTATTGTCCAGTAAAAGTAGGCCTCACACAGGGATGCATGATGTCACCATGGTTGTTCAATACATTTATAGGTGGGGTTGTAAGAGAAGTGAATGCTCGGGTGTTGGCAAGAGATGCGAGATTAAGAGATAAAGAATCTAACACAAAGTAGGAGTTATCACAGCTGCTTTTTGCCAATGTAACTGTGCTTCTGGGAGATTCCGAAGAGAAGTTGCAGAGGTTAGTGGACGAGTTTGGGAGGGCATGTAAATGAAGGAAATTAAAAGTGAACATAAAGAGTAAGGAGAGGAGAATAAAAAAAAATAATAAAAGACTGGATATCAAAATGGAGGGAGTAAAGGGGAAAGTGAATGCATTCAGATATTTGGGAGTGGACTTGTCAGCCGACGGGTCTATGAAAGACGGCAAATCAGTGGTGCACTGAGGAGTCTGAAGACAGAGCGTTATCCATGGAAGCACAGAGTAATGTATGAGAGTATAGTTATACCAACACTCTTATATTGGTGTGAAGCATTAGTGGTGAATGTTGCAACAAGGAGGAGGCTGGAGGCAGTGGAGACATCATGTCTGAGGGCAATGTGTGGTGTGAATATAATGCAGAAAAACCATAGATTGGAGATTATGGAGGTGTGGAGTTTCTAACAGTATTATCCAGAGGGTAGAAGAAGGGTTGCTGAGGTGGTTCCAACATTTAGAGAGGATGGAAAATTAAAACGACTTGGAGCACATATAAATCTGTAGTGGAAGGAAGGTGGGGTAGGTGTTATCCTAGGAAAGGTTGGAGGGAGATGGTAAAGGTGGTTTTGTGTGAGAGGGGGCTTGGACTTCCAGCAAGCATGCGTGAGTGTGTTAGATTGGAGTGAGTGAAGGCACTGGGTTTTTATGACTGTGCTGTTGGAACGTGAGCAAAACAACATTTACGAAGGGATCCAGGCAAACCAGTTAGCCGGACTCGAGTCCTCAAGGTGGGAAGTACAGTGCCTGCACTCTGAAAAAGGGGTGGATATATGCTGTAGTTTTTTAACTTTAGTGTAGGCACACCTCTGGCAAGACAGTGATAGAATGAGTGATAATGAAAGTTTCTTCCTTTTCAGGTCACCCTACCTCGGTGGGAAACAGTCGGAGTGTTAAAAAAAAAAGTAGTACTGTACTGATACTAGTACAGTTATCCTTGTTGAAGGTACAGTACTAGAGAGAAAACTATCCATAATTTTATACTGCTCCCCAAGCATAGATTAACCCTGTAACTAGCAGCACTAGCGGTTAATTACACATGCACAATCCATTTCCCCCGATGCGCTAATTTACACCTGATGCCAAGCATTTGAAGAACTTTGTTCCCCATTTAATAATTCATTGCCTAATTATCAGATGCAGGTTTGTGGTGATTTAACAGTATTTCTACCCCTAATTTCATGATGCCTGCCTAGGCCTGTTTCCCATTGCCCTCACTAGGAAGCCTATTCCGAGCTAGTGTGAGACCTCGTGCAGAGGCATCTCTCACTCTTGCCTCAGACCTGATTGGACCAACACCTCACTTGCTCCTGTCCCCTAGCCCCTGTCCCCTAGCTCCTGTCCCCTAGCCCCTGTCCCCTAGCCCCTGGCCCCTAGCCCCTGGCCCCTTACTCTGTTTGCCTGAAGAAACTGATTCTGCCCAATAAACCACATCTAGTCTATACGAATTTATATATCCTGCTTTACTTCTAACTTGTTCTCTACTGTCTACACAATGCTGCCCAATTACAAATTGGAAACAGCCAAATACAGTATTCCATACATCGATGGTGGTAGCTATACAGAGAATGCAGACTATAAACGGAATGATTTGGATTTTGAAGGACAATTAGAGATGTATTAGCAGCATTAACTAAACATAGGCAAGACCTACAAAATCTAAACAAAACCCACAACTTACTAAAGTGGAACAGAATTCTTCCTCAGAGGAGACTAAAATTCTAGGAGCAAGGGGCTAGTAACCCCCTTCTCCTGTATACATTACTAAATTTAAAAGGTGAAACTTTGGTTTTTTTCTTCTGGGCCACCCCGCCGGCCACAAACGGCCGGTTTGTTGAAAGAAGGAAAGGGAGAAAAGTCTAAAAAGGGAAAAATTAAGGGGGAAAAAAAGGGTTAAAAAAGATAAAAAAGGGGGGACAGGTTAAACACCGGGGAGGTACACAACCTATATACAACATTAGGCAGCACGTACGTACACTCTAGTAAGCTTCATAACAGTAGTCCGTAACTTTAAAAGAAATATTCAAGGTAATGTACACAACTTATCTCTGACCCCACCAATCGCTCCACTGGCATTACCAGCCAACCAAAGCAAGAACAGGAAGAAGACATACAGAGCTGACAAGAATGTATCAACAGGAGAGACTAAAGGATGCAAGCCAGACAACCTTTGGCAGGAGTATTAGAAAGGTTTACAAAGATTTGTCATGATTGTGGGAAGACATACTCAAGGCTTTCCAAATTCTTTAATGGCTCAGTAAAATTGAGTGAAATTTAAGGGCCATTGACAAGTATACAATGAATATTAAAATAAAACCACAGAAAGGTTACAAGTGCTTGCACTTCAGTCTCAGGGTAAATGTGAATGAACTAAATAAAGTGGCATAAGAAGAGCCATTTCAACAGTGAAGGTCACCAATCACTCCTACCAATAAATTATGTAACACACACAAAAATGAAATTAAACAAAAGCTACTAACATGAATAAAACACTCAACACACACAAAATGAAGAGGTGGCAGCAACTCTGGAGAAGCAGATAGTACTGCTATTCTATGTAGCTCAAGAGAAAGTATATGCTGCAAACATTAGAAACTTAAAAATATGATTAACACCGAAGACAGGACACCATGGACAAAGCTCTGCTCCTGTAACTACGCTACTGTAAAAAAAAAATTGTTACACAAATAATCCACGGAGAAACTTACAACATTTCAGTCCAACTTGCATCATTAACTAATCACACTGAAATATTGCCGTAAGTTTCAGTCTCCCATGTGCGGGTTAGTCATGTAGAATTTCAAAACATTAATTAATTCATATACACAGCGAGACAATTTCCACATATTTAGTACAGAAATATGAATACTACGTAGGAGGGCTGCCTCTCAACAAGGATATTAATAAAAACTTGTGTATATATATTATCCAGAAAATTTGTCCATTTAAATTTTTTGAAATACTTGTCCTAAACATTTACTTTAAAGATTAGAGTAATTTTAAACTTTTTTGAGCATATCTTCTTGCATTATACAATATTCAAAATATTGAACACAGGGTGGTATTGGCACAATCATGATTAAAAATGAAAATAGCCATTGAACATCTAGTACTGCAGTACATTACTAAGAAGATAAATGCAATGGTTGAGTATAATGAATTTTATAAACGGTATCAAACCAATTAAATAGATATGATGCACAGGCAAGAGAAATCCACATATCTGTTCCCAAGAAACCTTCGGCAAATCTGCTGACGGGAATCTCAAGACTGAAATACACAGTTCAATTAACCGTGTTCATATTTCTAATTGTGCGCTGATGCTTTTCATTAATCGGTCTATTACATTAATCCAAAAAATATAGATTTGCACACTGGTTTAAGATGCACAAAAAAGTAAGGGACTGACCTCATAAAATATCCATGTGGAGAAGACAACTTGAAAGGCGTTATAAGCTACGAGTATATTCCTTAGCTGGAATGGTGGCCGAGTTTTCATATATTGTGGCCCAATCACCTTCACAATTAACACGTAGCTAATGCAGATGAAGAACGTAGGCCATGGAGAATCCATAAATAACCACCCATCCACACGAGGATCTGCGCAATGTGAAAACTTTCTTATTACATGCCCAATTTTTGAATACTGGACATAAATTAAAAAGCATTATATTAAGACCAACACCCCATTACCCAAACCATCACATTGTGCTATACATTAGCATTGCAAAGCCACAAACCACAAAATTAAGAATTCTTTTCATAAAACATGAAAGCATGACCCAAGCCCCAACCTGTGTTTAGTAACAAGTTCAATAAAACTAATACCGTATATCATTGGACCTGACGCCCTCACAATAGCCTCGAGTCACACAAAAGGTCCACAAGTCACAAAGTAATTCAACCCATAATCCATATTGTAAAATGTATATGCCACAAGTCGTATCTTACATCGACTGATTAATAACTTACAAATATTTACAAAAAGTTCATGGAGGGAATACACTGCTATGATACACCTGTGACCAGCTTTAACCCTTAAATGATCCAAATGTATATATACATACGTTCTCTCGCGTAGCGCCCCAAACGTATATATACATTTCATTTGTCATTCATTCAACATTGGCACGATAGACCTGAATCGCCTAGACACGAGAGAATGGGTGTGCGCACCATTTGAAAAAAATTGGGGATGCCTGGGTACCACATGCTCTTTTTTCCTATAAAAAAAAAAAAATTCTTAAAATATTTGGGGTGCTATGCGAGAGAACGTATATACATATTTGGACCATTTACAGGTTAAGGGTTTACCTACTTCCAGTGGTGGACCTACATTTTTGGGGCCCTGAAGCTTGAACTGTTATGGGGGCTCCCCTTCACAACCCATTCTCACACAGCAGACCCAAAATTTTTAAGCAATGGAGACTAAAGTTGTTTCTGGGGCTCCTCCAGGATTAGGGACCCAGAAGCTTAAGCTCCAGTTCCATAGTAGAGCCATCGCTGCTTACTCCTGGAGCCCAGCCTCCAGGCTTAGTTGGTCTGATGCTTGCCTAGTCAACCAAGATGTTGCTCCTGGTGGCCCACTATCCCACATATCCATTACATAAGGAAACATGCCCAGTGCTTTACCCATGCCAGGAACTGAACCCCAGTCCCTCTGTGTGCAAACCAAGGATGCTACATAACCACGAGCACCCTGCAGCACGGTTGATGTGGCACTTCAGATTCAGATTACAGTGGACCCCGCTTAACGATCACCTCCCAATGCGACCAGTTATGCAAGTGTATTTATGTAAGTGCGTTTGTACGTGTATGTTTGGGGTCTGAAATGGACTAATCTACTTCACAATATTCTCTATGGGAACAAATTCAGTCAGTACTGGCACCTGAACATATTTCTGGAATGAAAAAATATCGTTAACCGGGGGTCCACTGTACGTATTTCAGTATGATACAAAGTTTGTACAGAAATGGGTGACACTTAGGTGTACATTCAGAAAATCCCTTAGTATGCAGAGCATTTCAGGCATACTTAAGCCTATCGTAAGACCAACAAGGCAATAACTAATCAATTGCTTTTATATACTGTGTCTTAGTGGTTATACACAAGTTTAGGAATCACAAGGAAAAAAAAGAAAACTGCCTTATTTACAAAATCTATAAAACATTTATCAAATTTAACTGTTGTAAGACTTAAGAGGCTGAAGGATGTAAACCAGTTTCCCTGTAAAAACTTACACTTGTTCCTGCAGAATGTCCAATACCTGCTTGTACCATGTTTAAGTCGAGGCACACATATGTTTTTGTATTTAATTACAAAGGTGAGTGAACTGGGTTAGTTTAACAATAAAAATTAACACTTTAAAAAAAGAAAAAAATTAAACATAGCTGGGTTGGTAGTGCACTCAGCTCACACAGTTAGGTCTGGGTTCAATCCCCAGTATGGCTGGAAACATTAGGATGTGTTTCCTTGTCCCTGTTCACCTATCAGCAAATAGGAACCTAAGCATTAAGTCACCTTACACCTGATGTCCATGTTCATTTAGCAATAAAATAGGTACCTAGGTGTTAGCTGACCAGTGGGGGTCTCATCCTGGGACAAAACTGACCTAGTCTGCCCAAAATCCTCTGCATAACCAGAGGCTTTCTATATACAGTAGTATGTCACTGATGTCAGCTATGGTCTTTACAAGTTGTATCATATACTTTTAGTAATATTTATTATTACATATTTAAGAAACTTACTCTAGCTTATTTCATATATATAACAAATAAATTGTGGCAAATTAAATACAGCCTCTCCTCGCTTAGCGACATCCTCGTTTACCAACGACTGACTTAACGACAGGCTGACTAGTATGCATACCTAAATGTATATTAGAGCTGGTTTCCTCTATACTGTTCATTACAATACACAGCACACTACTGTATCAGGATGGGTATGGGGTACATAAGGATATTTAACTACTGTATGAACATTTAAAAATATACCAGAAATGTTATAAATGGTGCAAAGGTGACAAAAAAATATCAAAGATGGCCGACATAAACCCACTACCATTATAGTATGCTCCTCACTTAGCGACGAATTAATTTGCTGACGTGGTCTTAGGAATGAAACTCCGTCGTTAAGCGAGGAGAGGCTGCATAATGGAGGCTCAGTATACTTTTTGCTAATTTCCACAACTAGACATTACGGCTGACATGTTATAAGATGAACACAAAGATACTGAACATTGACATCGTATTATACCTGTATGCCAGGTCACTAATACTGAACACTGAAATGTACAGGTCATATTTAGTCTATGATGAGCATATAGCCTGGAGCCCAACCTGCTGTATAAGAGGGGCCCTACAGTAGCCTGGAACCCAACCTGCTGTACAAGTGGAACCTTCCTGTATTATGATATATCCAAGATTTTTTCCCCTTTGTTAATAAATGGTTCAGAGAACCAACAAGTTGATGATCTGAGACACTCGCACACCATTAGGGTATCATTGTGGAAACATTTCACCAAGTGGCTTCTTCAGTCCTGTACAGAGATGAATGGTGGAAAATGAAAAGGAGTTTGAGGTCATCAGTCCCTCAGCCTGGAGTTGATGTGTTCATTCCATCCATCTTTATTAAAGTACAAAGCTGTGGTTAGTGGCTTTTTATCCATAATGCCAGTACCATGCCTTGGGGTACTGAGCTCTTTATTATTACCTAGAGCCTACCCAGAGATTGTACGGGAGGGGAGGTTATATTAGGCCTCCCGGTGGATGAATTGGTTAACCAGGCTATTAATGGTACTTTCCGCACACACACCTGCAAATTTACTGGGCCATGTCACTGGGATAAACATGCTATCGTAAAAACTGCATTGCCGCCATCAACTCCATGGCCTCAATACCTGTACGAATTATGCAATAACTGCAGTCTATTCTTTATTTCTTTATACAACAATAAACCTCCATTACAACATACTTTTGGCATCAATGATATTAATGCTGATATACCAGTGACCAATATCAGAAGGTCATCTAACCTTACAGCCCAGTCCAAGACCAGAGTTCCTTGTTGACTATCCTGGTGACCCCAGACTGTTGCTGTTCACATAGGCCATTACAACCTGGCTGGTAATATGCCTTGGTTTTTACTTTAGCATTAAGTCATAGCACATACGTGTGTACTTCCCAGGGCACAATATTATGTGGGGTTGAGGCTAAGGTTCAGAATGTCATTCAGGAACCTCGCCAGTAATAGAGAAATGAAAGATTCTGACCTGAAAAGAGAATAAAAAGTCAGTATTATGGTTGAAACAAGTCACAAATTATCATCATTTTAGAGAAACCCAACAACATTTCAGTGCATCTTAGGACGGACCTAAACATCGTCTTAAGTTCCTTTCCCAAGTGCAGGTTACTTGTTGATCTGACCCAAAGGAAGATATCCCAGAGACCAAATGTTTCCTCTCTTTCCTTTAACCATATTGGGAACACTTACATTGTCTTGCTGCCTGATGCTATTAGTGTGGGAATAAAATCCAGCTATGTCATATTTTTTTACTTAATACAAGATAAAGAAATGTGTCGGCCTAAGCTGGGAGACTTTAACAAGGTAACGATAATGCCTTATGGAGCCTCGTCTCTCAGGAGTCTTGGAAAAAATTTACCACCCATATCAGGGCTGCAATTCAAGAGTAAACAAAGTTCCCTCCAAAAACAGAAATAGGAATATAATACTCTTAATTAGGTCATGTCATATACCCCCCCCCCCCTTTGCCTATTATTATTATAATAATAATCAAGGGGGAAGCGCTAAACCTGTAGGACCTCCTTTGCTTAAAACCTGGAGCCAAAAGGTGTTACATACTAGACAACATTAGAACAAGATCGCAAATACAAAAAAAGCAATGGTTGACCACAGAGGAAATTAGGGTTAAACCAATGCTACTTACAACGGTTTTTTCAACCAAAACAGAATAGACAGAACTGGGACCCACATGGGAAACTGAAATCATGGCAGGCTAAGTTGATGGAGGTAGTTAGGGAAAAAACCTACATCTCATTGTTGTGAATACAAGAGAAACCCGGAAGACTGGACTTTGATAGAAAGGAAATAGAACACGAGATCCCCCTGGGTACTAGCGACTATACAGTACTGAACTTTCAGTACGTAGTGAAACTAAATGAAGAGGGAAGAGCAAGTGGAGTCCATGAAAAGTCAGACTTAAGAAGAGGAACTTACGAGGAATGAGGGGAATTCCTGAATGAAGTGCAGTGGAAACTGGAGGGAATATCATAAGATAAGATTGAGTACCTAGTTGGAAAGTCCCAGGAGGCTCAGAACTTCATACCCAGAAGGTAAAAATATAGCAAAAAAAAAAAAAAAAAAAAAAAAAAAAAAAAAAAAAAAAAAAAAGCCTTTGTTCAACTAAAGATACAGAGGTACTGGAGAAGACAGTCCTGTGAAGACAACATGGAAGAATTCATCATTGATGCTCAAGACACAGACCTATATCCAAGCAGTCCTGAATGGGTTCATTAGTCTTCAAATTGAAACATTTATACATAAATAAGCAGCAGATAAGCAGATAATAAGCGTGTATGCA